ATAATACATCACACGCAGTGACTTTATATCGATATAACCTTCCCTTATTAGTATGTGGTGTTTTATCAGATATTAAGTCACTGCACGTGACCTATGAATATTAGTTATCAGCACAGCAATTGACACAAGAAATGCTGCGTGAATATTAAGTGTTCTTTCAAAATAACACACGCAGTAAATTTACCATTGGACAAAATTAAACTTTGTTCTTTCACCAATTTAATGAGCCAAAACTTCAGTGACTCAAGGGTAATATTGGTTACGGTAGTGTCCAAGCGTTGCACTCGAGACTTGAGTCGTGAATACGCAAGGCTCGAGTACTGGATTTTTGTTTACGTACCATTGGGCCATTCCAGAAAAAAATTTTCGAAGACTACTTTTAACTTCCTCTCTTCCTCGGCATTTTAGGCTTCCGAAAAGCTCTAGAACAAAACGCCATATCGTCTTCGGTTAGTTTCGTTCGTAGACTGGAACATTTCTTAACGCATGTGAGATTTGATTTTATTGCATGTCTAATATGAAACGTAATATTTCTTTTCGTGTGCTAATTTCCAACGTTCACAAAAGCGTCATTGTTATCAACTCCATGGAGACACGCTTTTCCAGAAATGCCTTTGAACTCGTTCAATAAACTCGCAGCACGTGTTTTATCGGGTCTAAAATCGCTCACCTTTGGCTCGTGATTTTAAACCGATAAAACACTGCTGCTCGTTTATTAAACATTACATAGAGCATGTTTGTCCATATTCGCATAGTCTCTTTTAAAGATTGATTTCTTTCTGTTTAATGCAATGCACTCCTTTTTGAAAGTCAAAATTTCGGATTAGAATAAAGAAGAGTCATCCGACGAAAACAGGAACTTTGAGAACATTGCACACAAGTTCATCTCATAGCCTCATTGGCGAAAGGGCAAATTAGCGGCGAAGCTTCGAGAACGGAAAGCCTCACCGGGAGCTTCAAATACTATCTTGAGAGAAATAGAGTACTAAGGCAAGTACTGGCGGACATTTCACTCGTTTCAAGAGTAAGAACTAGGCGAAATTATAGCTAAAAACATGGCAAGAACAGCAAGAAGACAACTCGAAGGGCGACATCTGCTATTTGGAGAACTTTTGTGGAGCTGAAAAACCCTAAACGTGCACTATCGAAGGTGAACTTAACATCGATAGAGGTAAGCAATTGTTTTAGCTTTGTTTTTAAACTAGGAATTATTTTGAAGGAATAATAAAACAGTTCTTGAATTCGGCTTTCGTATCATATGAAGAATTATGGAGATCGAGGAGGGTGTTATCCGTCGAGGCCGTACACCCTCCTCGATCTCCATAATTCTTCATAAGATATGAAGCCGAATTCATTAATTGTTAAATATATAGAGGTCCAATAGAAGCTATACAACGCAGTACCGAAGCTTCTTTGGAAAAAACGACAGAGTGTGAAATAAAAACACATACAAAATGGCTAACAACCGGACAAAATTATTGTTAACCGTATGACATTGCTCGTGAAATCGAATTCATACGATTTTCTATACCTACTACATTTATGGTTAAAATTTTATTACATTTATGGTTGGTTTTTATTACATTTACGTTGGGTATTACATTTATGGTTGACTTTTATTACATTTATGGTTAGTGTTACTTTTCATGGTTGATTATTACATTATGGGTGATACAGCAAGCCAGCTGGGAGCTGGTGATTAAATTGGTTCGCAATGTACCCGGAGAGGTGTATATGAAACATATATATAATGAATATTTAGCAATTATTGAATGAGGAGGAATAGGATGTGAAGAATTCTGCGATTGGGGAGGATGTTATCGGCCGAGGTGGACAACATCGTCCAAGATCTTCCAAAAGCCGAATTGAATAATTGCTTTATTAGTCATTCAAAATATTTCTGATTTGTTATAAACAAGCTTACCTTCTCAAAGACTTTCTTCAAAACTTTGGCCTATTTCTCGGCATGGTTTCGCGATATAACATATGTTTTTCCTTGACGATACTCCTCAAAAGTAGACAACACCCCTCCAGCGATACGTTTAACGTATTCTTGCATTTCTTTTGTTCAGTTAGATAACTATTCAGCTATTTCGCCTTCGGATAGCCGTGAACGCCATTTTCTTTTTATGATTAACTCAAGAACAAAGAGCTAGGCTGCCGCGTCTGGAAACGAGTTTGAGCACGACTGGGCACGACTGTTGTGCCCCCCCCCCCCCCAACCCGCCAAATCTTGAAAGTCTAAACAATCAAACCCCGTTCAGTTGATACAGACACTGAGGGGGCCATAGAAAGTGCCCATATATATATGAACTGCTACGTAACATTTGAATACCTAGTCTGAAATGACGACAATTAGCCGAGTATAGTACAGATATTATAGACAGGCTGTACCAGACGATAGAAAAAAAGGGACCGGTGTCCGCCCGCCGAGTGTCCACTCAAAATTACTAGTAAGATTACTGTGACAGTGGAGGTTATGGAATTTATATAAACCAATATGACCACCGTAGTTGAAAATATAGTGGTTTCCATCAGTACTAATTAATTAGCTAAATGTTCAACAGTTCTGAAAAGAGTCTAAAAATCTTGACAACCCGCGAGAGGTTTCGGTGTAAAAGTCGTTAGCAACATCAGTTTGTCCGCGTCTTCCTTGGATACGACATCAGCGTGCAAAAGGTTGTTCATCCGTTTTTTGCGTCATGGTAGACCTAAGGTAATTCTTGATTCTTTTTTAGACACTGAAAGACCTTTCACTAAAAGTATTTGTGGCAGGCATTACTAATATCAGTTTCACTAAAACTGTACATGTTGCAGTCTCACTGAATGAAGCAGGTCCATTTGCATTAAGAATTTTTTTTATGAATGACACAGAGGCTATGGCACTTTCTCGAGCATACATTTTCACAATAATAAGCTGCGTTTCAAGACGTTCCCTGTTCTTATCTGAACCATAAAAGTTTCAGGTTGATAATGGCTAAATTGAGAAATCGCCTCCTGAAACCGTCTTGAGAAGCAAGTTTTCGAGATTTGTATAATAGATTTTAGGGACGTAGCGTGAGATTTTGAAGGTGCAACGCAAAGGGGAAAAGGTTAGAGGGCCAAAGGCGCTCTAAAGTTGGGCGGGGAGCTCTGGGGGGCATGCTTCCCCAGAAAAATTTTTAAATCTAAGGGCTCGGAAATGCTATTTCCTGCGTTATCCACAGGACATTTTAATAAATACGAAAGAAAATGCAAATTGTTAGAATATATTTTACCTATCCCTAATGTTATCGTTAAGGTACAATGTTAACGGATAAAAAAGGTGAACAGTGACACCATGGAGAAAATTACAAGCAAAGGACGAGATCAGTAGCCTGCATGACAGCTGTCTCTCCTCATCTTCCCTGCGAAACATCGCTAGTGATGAGGAGCGAGGAGAGACGGCTGTATAGCGCTGGCTAAGGACGAGACAGAGCTTTAAAAAGACTCGAGAGGTTAAAAAATTAGCCCTAACAACATATTTTATAAAATCGAAAGAAGAATTGGGTTGTGTTATTCTCTCAGTATTTTCGACGGTAAAGTGGTGGTCTTCTTTTTTTAACATTTTTCGCCCAAAAAGTGAGGGGCACGGACCCTACCCCCACGCCCCCCTCCTCCTACTCCTACGGCCCTAATTTATACCATCGAATCGATGGTATGTTGTTTGCGTCTTCCAAATATGCTAAGCGCCACTTGGTTATGATGAATTAGCCGGGGGATTGGAGCCAATATTTTGAATGAATAATAAATAGAGAATATTACTTGGCCACGCGGAGATACGAAATGTCTCTTCGAATGTTGAGAAAAATATTCCACGAGTAAGCATAGCGAATGACTGAAATATTCTCCAGCACAAGAAAAGATATTTCATATCTTTAAGCGGCCATGTAATGTCCTATCTATTTTATAAACACCAATAACAAACCAAACCATTTCGCTTTAATATTTTTTAAGTCCTAGAGAAGAGGAATGTGTCAGAACTAAAAATGGAACGAAGTACACAGTCTTTAAATATAAATTCCTTTTCTTTGCAGTGTAACAAATTAAGAGCTATCCTAAAATAAATATGGCTCATAGAATTTTACATTTCGAAAAAAAAACCAGCTGTAAGCAAGACTATTTTTGAACATCAAATCCAATGTTGCCCTACATTTATAAGTTCCATTTAAAATAAAGAACAACAAAAAGTTCAATACTAAAAATTAAGGAGCTGGTAAAAACTATGAATAAAAGCACTTCATAAGATGTAATGACAACTATTAGAAACAAAAGTTAGACTGGGTAGGTAAAGATATCAAACTGAGTGGGGAATGAGTCAGGAGTAAGAGGGAACCTGGGTTCGCCGATTTTCAAAGCTTGTGACTGAAAGAGCTGTATTTTCCAGAATTTTTAACAGGACGATGTATGATAGTAAATATTAGGTTACAAACTACTCTGTAAAACCATTTTTTTTTCATAGATATTCTGCGTTTGCAGATTAAACAAGTATAGAATAGGTCCGGGGGGTTTCCACATATGAAAGGGATGGGGATGCTCGTCAGAAATTTTGAATTAAACCCCTAAAGGAGACCGATCTGGGCGTGGCCCAAGCTTTTTTTGACCCCTAGAAGTGACCATGATAAAACACAGACAATATATATATTTTTATATTTTTTGGCGTGCAACCTCAAACGACACCTTCACGGTTAAATGGCGTTTTGCCCAGAACACCCTAAGTGAGACCAAAATCCGAAATTTACACCTTTAAGCGAGACGACGAGCATCCCCACCACTTTCATATGCGGAGTCTCCCTCCACCGGGAGAATAGGCCATAGAAATGATGGTCCAGCACTTATGATCGTGACTTAACTTACCTCAATAAATCTTACACGAAAGCTTGATTATCTTGCCCAAGAAGTTTAACTGTTCAGTTAAAGAATCGTGTTTCCACTTTCTTACTCTTGAAATATTTTTTTCTCAAGGTCAAGAAAAAAGGGTCATGGACAAGATCTCGGAGTTTCTACAGGCCATTCATATTGGTGCAGTCGTTGCAACTTTTCTTTTCAACAATGGACGTATTATAAAAGCGGTGGACATCTTTAACGAATGTTTGGTGCTCCTTAACGGTAAAGCCCTAGAGACAATCAAAGAACTTACCACACCACTTGTTATCTATGTATACCATAAACTTCTTAATGGCTATACTCTTATGCACGATCACACCCGTGCAATAGAATGTGGTAAAAAGCTTCACGTGACACTCCACAATAGTGGTCAAAAAGAAGAAGAAGAAGGGATAATATTACTAAAACTAGCTGGCATCTACTATCAAAGAAGCAAATACGAGGAAGCAAGACAGTGTTGCGAAAAGGCACTCGGCATCCTGATTGAGACTGGAAACAATCACGGAGTTGGAATATGTTACGGAAATCTAGGAGCTGTGTTCCGATCTGTCGGTCAATATACCAAGGCTGAAGAATACCTTCAAAAAGCACTAGTGATCAGCAAAGAAATCGGTTACAAACAAGGAGAAGCATCTGCTTACGGAAATCTAGGATTTGTGTTCCAATCTGTTGGTCAATATACCAAGGCTGAAGAATACCTTCAAAAAGCACTAGTGATCCAGAAAGTAATCGGTGACAAAAAAGGAGAAGCATCCACTTATGGAAATCTAGGAGCTGTGTTCCAATCTGTTGGTCAATATGCCAAGGCTGAAGAATACCTTCAAAAAGCACTAGTGATCATGAAAGAAATCAGTGACAAACAAGGAGAAGCATCTGCTTACGAAAATCTAGGAACTGTGTTTTTTTCTGTTGGTCAATATATTAAGGCTGAAGAATACCTTCAAAACGCACTAGAAATCAGGAAAGAAATCGTTGACAAAAAAGGAGAAGCATCTTCTTACGGAAATCTAGGAGCTGTGTTCCAATCCGTTGGTCAATATACCAAGGCTGAAGAATACTTTCAAAAAGCACTAGTGATCAGGAAAAAAATTGGTGACACACAGGGAGAAGCATCAGATTACGGAAATCTAGGAAAGGTGTTTAAATCTCTTGGTCAGTATACCAAGGCTGAAGAATGCCTTCAAAAAGCACTAATGATCATGAAAGAAATCGGCGACAAGGAAGGAGAAGCAACTGCTTACGGAAATCTGGGAACTGTGTTCTTATCTGTTGGTCAATATAAAAAGGCTGAAGAATACCTTCAGAAAGCACTAGTGATCAAGAAAGAAATCGGTGACATACACGGAGAAGCATCTACTTACGGAAATCTAGGAACTGTGTTTAAATCTGTTGGTCAATATAACAAGGCTGAAGAATACCATCAAAAAGCACTAGTGATCCAGAAAGTAATCGGTGACAAAAAAGGAGAAGCATCTACTTATGGAAATCTAGGAGTTGTGTTCCAATCTGTTGGTCAATATACCAAGGCTGAAGAATACACTCAGAAATCACTAGTGATCAGGAAAGAAATCGGTGACAAACAAGGAGAAGCAACTACTTACGCAAATTTAGGAACTGTGTTTCTTTCTGTTGGTCAATATGCCAAGGCTGAAGAATACGTTCGAAAAGCACTAGTGATCCAGAAAGTAATCGGTGACAAAAAAGGAGAAGCATCCACTTATGGAAATCTAGGAGTTGTGTTCCAATCTGTTGGTCAATATAACAAGGCTGAAGAATACCTTCAAAAAGCACTAGTGATCAGGATAGAAATTGGTGACAAACAAGGAGAAGCATATGCTTACGGAAATCTAGGAACTGTGTTTAAATCTGTTGGTCAATATACCAAGGCTGAAGAATACACTCAGAAATCACTAGTGATCAGGAAAGAAATCGGTGACAAACAAGGAGAAGCAACTGCTTACGCAAATTTAGGAACTGTGTTTCTTTCTGTTGGTCAATATGCCAAGGCTGAAGAATACGTTCAAAAAGCACTGACGATCTACGAGGAAATCGGAGACAAACGTGGTGTTGGAGCTTCATACTTAAATCTGGGAAGACTTTGTCGAGAATTTCAGCTTAATGCGAAGAGTCAAGAATATGCTAATAAAGCACTTGAGATAAGCTATGAAATAGGGGACTTTGAAATGCAGTTTAAGAGCCACCTTTCCATTGCTGTGAACGCGTTAGTGGCAAGTGGAAGCATAAATGAAATACAGCGAAATCTGTACGAAAGCATCCAGAAATGCGAAGAAATGCATGATTTTTTAAGAATGAGAGATCAATTCAAAATTTCTTTTTTTGATGAGCATGTGTCCCCTTACCTTCTTCTTTGTAGGTTGTTGATTGATACAGGTAATTATCATGAAGCCCTTTACGTTGCCGAGCTTGGACGGTCCAGAGCACTGACAGACGTACTGTCGGATAAGTACTCTGTGGATAAAGGGGTATCAGTCAACAGACAGTCATGGATTGGTATTGAAAACATCATGAACAAAAATACACTTAGTTCTTGTCTTTATGTTTCCTGCTTCGGTCATGATATGTTCTTTTGGATCCTCAAGCCAAACAAAATAATAGATTTTCGACAAAAGACACTCAAAGAAAATGCAGATAAAGTGTTTGGAAATAAGACATTTGGTGGCTCTTTTGATTTACGTCAAGACCAATGCGAAGATCGATCATTGTTTTCATGTGTAAGCTCCCCGCCATCATGCAAACCATCTCAGAGTGACAGCTTCGAATCTTTGCGTCTTATAGAAGAAGAGGAAGACGACAATCCCGACTCTAAACCTTTAACCCTTGCTGATGGTTACAACGTGATAGTCGCTCCTGTAGCTGACTTACTCCAAGAATCAGAAATCATTATTGTACCGGATAGCTTGTTGTATCCATTTCCTTTTACTTCTTTAATGGATGATAATGGAAAGTATTTATCGGATACTTTCAGGATTCGTATTGTCCCTTCCTTGACGACTCTTAAGTTGATTCAGCTCAGTCCAGAAGACTATCATAGTGCAACCGGTGCACTGATCGTAGGAGAGCCAGACGTTAGTGCTGTATACTACCAAGGAAACCTTCTACAGTTAAACTCACTGCCTTGGGCGAGAAAAGAGGCAGAGATGATTGGGCGACTGCTCGGTGTTCAACCGTTGCTTGGAAGGAATGCAAATAAGCAGGCAGTCCTGGAAAGCATGCATTCAGTAAGTCTCATTCACTTCGCTGCTCATGGTTATGCTGAACGTGGAGAAATAGCTCTCTCCCCTGTAAGTTCCTGCGGAACTCCACACGAAGAGGACTACTTATTGACGATCGCTGACATTTCACAAGTTCGACTAACAGCCAAGCTGGTTGTCCTTAGCTGCTGTCATAGTGCACGTGGTCAGGTAAGGGCTGAGGGAATTGTTGGAATCGCACGAGCATTTCTAGCATCGGGTGCACGCGCCGTGTTGGCGGCACTGTGGGCTGTAGAGGACGAAGCTACTATGTGGTTTATGAATCATTTTTACGAGCACCTTGTTCGTGGTGAAAGCGCCAGTGAATCTCTTCACCAGGCCATGAAGTCGATGAGAGAGAATCGCTTTTCTGACGTCAAGGAGTGGGCACCTTTTATGCTGATTGGAGATGATGTAACATTCAAAGGTTTGTATTTGATATAATTTTTAGGTTTTTTTTAGCTGTTTTTAGTCAAAATATGTGAAATAAATGTTCGTGACAACGCATTATTTTGAAAAATACTACTAACTAAGGGGAGTTATACTGAGTTTGTTAGTTTCTTTATTTGTTTTGTTTTGTTTTGTTTTGTTTTTTTGTTTTTTTTTTCAACCCTGTTCATGAAAGTGAGACAACTGGAGAGAAGGCCGAATTTTATTTTCCGAATTTCATGGAATATTTCGTAAAGTATGCATGCTCGGATCTAAAATAACTAACTAAAATGAAAATGTAGAAAACGATAGTTGAGATTCCAAAAAACATACGAAAACAATCTAAGTCATAGATAAGAGAAGTAAGTGGCTGTCAAAGAAACGTCTTCTTAAGGTTGTACCTGATGAAAGAAGAAACGTCGACAATTCCAATACGACTTTACTGAACTTTTAGCATATAAGTGTAAAGGTTGCTATTTGTTTGACCTTGAAAAAAATCTGTGTTAGACATATTATAGGTAAAACATTTAGCGCAACGAGCAACAGAAGCATGTTGATTGATAGCAAAAATAAATCGTGCAAAGAATACATACGAAGGGAACCGTGATGATTAGTTTTTCTATTTGCAGGTGCATTTGATAAGAGCAGTTTGAAAGATGGCGAAGGTGCCACGGAAACAAAGAACTTGTAAACTAAGAGGAAACATGTTTAAGTTGACAACTACTGTCACAGCTGCACATAAATGTATATACCCAGGATCTCAATGAAGTATTCTTGTCTGCGACTCGCAAATAGAACAGGCGATAATTGTACTTTTAAAGCAGTCGCCATTTTGATACGTTACAGGCCAAGGTGAAGCATGAGCTGAGCGCAGAGAACAAAGAAGTAGTTATGATTAAGCAAAATTAAGCCCCCGTTGGTGTATAGGTTAAGGTATAGGTATAGGTAAATTTACCGTAAATCATTAACATTCACATACCTTCCCTTCCCTAATTCCGTATAGGTTTACTTATGAGGTCTCTCTACTAAAATAGGCACAATAGGGTTGCCTCGGCTTGCCCGTGAAGTAACTTGAGCCCGGTTTTCGGACCGTCTATTAAAAGGAAAATAGGAATAAGAGAAGCGATCACCTAGCAACGCGAGAAACGGCTTCCTATATCTTATTTAGCGCTAAAACTCAGATATATAAACAAAACACACGCACATATACACAAAGTGGGGCAGAAAACTCTGTATTTCAATTTTGTCTGACTATTACAGAACTGTTTTCTCCGTTCTATCTCGAGGAAATGAAAAACTACTGAAGTCTCAACGGTTCACGCGCCGTTAGTCAGGTAATTAGCTCTACAGGAAAAACATCAAAGGAGCATCTTGACGTGTTATTATATAACAAATAACTTAACAAAAATCAATTGATTAAACACGCGACTTATAATTGCTAGCAATAAAATCAGACACCAGATACCGTTTCAAAACAAAAAGAGTCAAATACAGAGCGATTTGAAAGAAATCTATAAAATAGTCAAAGAAAGCAAGCTCTTTTTTTTTACCTTTTTTCCCTCCTCCACAATTTTATTTTCGCCCCTCATTCTTGAATTCCCTCCTCCACAATTTTAATATTTCCCCTCAATTCTTTTTTATTCCCTCCGCCACAATTTTAATATTTTCTCTCCCCAATGTTATTATTCCCTCCTCCACAATCTTATTATTTTCCCTCCTCCTCGCTTTTAAGTTGCTTCACCACCCCGATGCTTTAGCGGAAAGTTCTAAATCAATTCAGCATGAGAGCGAGTCGTAGAGGACACAAACAAAGGAGACGAATAAACATGTTTGTGTCCTCTAAGACTCGCTATCGTGCTGAATTTTCATATATTGAAAGATAACATAACATAACATAACATAACATACATGTTTATTCAAACTCATAATGACCACATGAATTTGAAAGGGAGAGTCTAGAGGTTAACCCTATGAATAAAACTCTCCTAAAAACAACAAACAATAAAAATTACAATAAAAATTACAACTTTAAAAAGGATTTGAGTTTACATTTAAAAAGTTCAAGGGAACCGGCTTCAACAACATTACCAGGTAAATTGTTCCAGTAACTAATTACATTGTTAAAAAAAGAATATTCCATTACTGACTGATAAGACTTAACAACTAGGGCGATGTATGAGATTGAATTCTTCCGTTTTGAATCACCCGTTTTCCAATCCTCTGCCCTGCCCTGTCATACCTGCTAGGTCTGATCTTTTTTTTTTTTTCAAACGTAAACTGACACCATTGAATGGGTGGGTACTCACTTGATTTAGAAGTAGAGATTTATCTGAGTTGGTCCTCTTACAGCATTATGAACCGGTTGAGTTATGAAACGGACTTGAGATCTTTAGATATGTCATTGTGGGTTTTTTAGAAAGGAGCCGACCTATCAATCACTACAGCGTCTTTGTGTAATTTGTTAGCTTATTTCTATTAGAATTTTACGCCTCTGACTAGAGTTCTGTTATAAATAGCGTAGGTTAGCTGCTTTCTGAGCTAAAGCGCTCATCAAATAACTTTGTTTTCAAGAGAAGAGGCTACGTAGTCAATACTTAGTGAACAAGGTTAGTTATTTAGAGAGGACAGACGGCAAATTGCTGTTGCTCGAAATATCTGAAAGTTTAAACTAAACGCCGTAACTGTTCGTCAGTAGGTCGATGTGACTTTCAGTTTCCAGTAATGAGTCACATATATTAGAGACCATTAGCATCAGGTTTTTCATGGGAAACCGCAAACCGCAAACCGCAGTTTGCAGTTACGCGTTTGCAGTTTCACGTTACCGAGATTTCAAATTTTAGCGTTCAGTTCAGTTCATTTCAGTTTATTTTTATTTAGCCAAAATATAACACAATACAAGAATATAAGAATTGTAATTCGGCAAGGGAGCCCAGAAGAAACCAAAAGACTTATGAAGCCTGGGCTCCTCAGTGATCCTCAGTCACAAAGAAATAAGTTAAGTAAAATGAAATTCGTGGAGTGATACCTTAAAAATAGGAACTAAACAAAGATTGAGTTAAGTTATGAGACTCACTTCAGTAACAAGATAAAAAAAAATAACTGAATTGGAACAGAAAACTTTCTTATGTTAGTACGGCAGAAAGGAATATAAAATCGATTTGAACTACGCGTTTATTGTTTAGTGCCGCCATGATGTAGTTTTCCATCAAGTCGAAGTGCATCACTTTTATCGCCCAAACAACAGGAATAATTCATTGATTCGAGATCAAAAGTCCAACAAACACATCGCAAACGGATATAAAAGGTAGTTAGTGCCTTTAAACGCAGGCTGTACCATTTTTAGTGGCAAGAAACTTTGCCGTAAATCACTTACCGCTAAAAGCCCTTCCTGGCGTTCAAACGTGAACTGCAAACTGCAAACGTGACCGCAAGGGTGCGGTCACGTGACATTTTGCGGTTTGCGGTTTTCCATGAAAAGGTCTCTATTAACAACAAAACATGACCAGGTACAATTTTAACCTGATTCTGGCAGGACTTGTCCTTGGTGTTCCACTCCGCCGCAGTGAAATAATTAACAGTAAGAACCGAATCAACTCATTCTCTTTTGTTAAGAGGAGGAATGATGGGATGGAACGCTGGATGTGAAATCTAGTAGAGGGACTAGTACTGTTCCTCCGGGATCCGTCCCCAGTCATCTCGCTAGTCTCTTCCCAACCCCCCGTGAGAGAGTTTAAATATTAAAGAGAGAAGCGCGCTGGTGATACGCGCGGGAGAGCTGGGACGGAAGAAGTGGGGAGACGATTAGACAATGACCCGCGGTAAAACCCGGTGACTAAGAACCTGCATTTTCCCAAGTTAGCCTAAACAGGTTCTTACATAAAAAGTAATTAGCACAACTTTGGGCTATTTAGGTTCTTAAATAGGTTCTTATTTTCTGAAGAAAAAGATACATTGAAGCTAAGAGCATTTAGTTGTATGTGCCTTAATTTCTTCTATAAAAATCTGCAGACCATTACATTACAGTTGGTGTGATAAGTCTCCTATGTCTTCAAAGAGGATCCTGAATGTTGACTTATCTTATTTGCCCAACTGAAAAGAATTTTTTTTATATAAAATGTAGAAAATAAGAACCTGTTACATATTTTAGGCAGGGCTCCTGTTTTAAGCTAAACAGATTCTTGTATAAAGGGGGCCTAACTCGCAAATTTTAGCCTAACAGGTTCTTAAAAACCAGGTTCTTAGTCGCGGGTTTTTACTGTAATAAATTAGACAATGACCTTTGGCAATGATCTTTTGTCGAGTTCCCGTGCCAATCTCCCGCGGTCGATTCGCGACCGAGTATGAATGATGGGGAGTGGAGCACCGTGGACAAGCGTCCACCGCGGTCAAACGAGAAAAATTTGGAAAGCTAAGCAAAGTATTGCAACTTTGAAATCAGCCTTGCTTCTTTCCGTTGTTCAGATATTTTAATTTATAGCTGATTAGATCCTCTATTAGGATCCAGTCCTTCTATTTTGTAACGTTGGTCCTTGCTTCCAAAACCGAATTCAAAGCTAGGGTTAACACTTATGTTTCACTGGAAGCATACAACATATAAGTACCAGTGCGCTGCTGATTTACTAACTGTTTTGTAAGTTTAATAAAAAAGCTAGAGGTGTTTAAGAACTTAAACAGGTGATACAGTTTGTCAGCAAAATTTACTCCGATGCAAAGAGTTCAACGGAAACAAGCTCAATATTTTGCGAAAAAATGAAAATTTTGTTAAATTAAGTGGGAATTTTGTACATCCTTGCCCATGTTCCCATTTAATGACGAACGACATGCCAGACGAAAGTCATACGTCGCAAAATTAACGCGATGACTCAAAATAACCGCCATTTTTTGTGAGGGCATGAACGCGTGCACAACAACAACATGGGCTCAAAACAGCCTCAGAACAAATGTTGTGACTGTTCCGCCGAGGAATAAACGTTAAGCAAACTCTTGGAGATTCAAGACTTAACAGCTCCGTTTGCTTTTGTCTTTGAACGCCTCAGTTAAATAGTTAGCAAGGGGACTGATGGGAACGCTGAATGTGAAATCTGATGGAGGGACTGATTACTCCCCTGTCGCCTCGCTTGTCTCTCCCTTTCATTAAATATTAACGGAGGAAGCGCATAGGATATATGCACGGGGAAAGATGGGAAATAAATATTTCCTCTCACTTTCTCCTTCATCGAATTTCCGTGCCAGTCTCCACCAGGTCGATAGTGCAATGATTTTTAACAAGATCACATTTTTCCGCGCACTATGAGAGCTAAGGAAAATGCGTTTTAGAGCGACACACGTCAACCCATCTCCCAGAATCAGACGAAACACATCCAGGACCTTTTAGTCGGTCAAACGAAAGGGAAAACAGCCGAAAATCGGTTAGCAAAACCTACATCAGGCGTGTTAGTCACGCACGTCAACCCAGAGGGCCTAGGTGCCGGGCCTTTTCCCTGTGCCTTAACGCGAACAAATTTGTACTGCTAAGTGTCCCTAATCTTATGACGATTTGTCTGAAATTCGAAAATATGGGCAAAACGGCTGGACAAGAAAGCAAAAAGGTACACATCCAGTTGACTTCGGTCGCTCGCTTGTCTCTCTCTTTTATTAAATATTAACGACGGAAGCGCATAGGATATATGCACGGAGGAAGATGGGGAATGA